AACTTAATGGCCTTGATCACATATTAAACACTGTTTCAGAGAACATAATGGAAACAAGTCTGAATTCCTGAGATATCAAAGGGTGAAAACAGAGAAAAGCCTCAAGGACATGTGCAACACTGTAAATTGATATACTCATAAAATTACATGTAGAAAATTCTGTAATGAAGATGCTGGAATAAGAAAAATTTTAAACATATTGGCTTAAAATTTCTTGAAACAAAATGATAAAAATTTATTCAAGAATTTGGCAAATTTAGAAACATACGAAGATAAAGTATATCTAAACATCTCATAGTCAAGTTATTGCAAATCAAAAATTTAGAGACAAAAAAATGAATGAACCCTCAGAGAAAACCACATTGATACAAGTTGACATAATTATGAGAATAAATGCTCAGGTTTCATGAGATACAACATTAACCAGAAAACTAGAATGACAGTCTTTGAGATGGAAAACACATAATTGTCAAACTCCCTTAAGTTTGATTTTTCTTAAAGGTAATGGATTACATATCCAGATAAAAGTACATATTTTAATTAATCAAATTAAATAATTGGATTAGACCAGAGATGAATTGTAGCTTTATAATGACACATTGTTGATTGACCAGGAAATTACGACAGTTTGAATACCTAGGCACCTAACAGTGAAGCTTCAAAATTCATAAGCAAGCTGAAAGATCTAAAGAAAAAAAATGGATACAATTATACTTGGTGACTTTAGTAATCTAGCCATGTGATAAAATTAGTCAAAATAACAACACAGATATAGAATACTTTATCAACTGTATATAAATTGTATAGTTAAAAATATTTCATTCAACAACAAAGTGAATGATATTTTCAAGTGCTGAAGGACCATTTACAAGACTCAAGTAGAAATCAAACAAAGAAGGAATAGAGAGATGACTCAGTGGTTAAGAGTACTTCTTACTCTTGCAGAGGACCTGGGTTTGGTCCATAGCAACCACATCAGGCAGCTCACAACTCTGTAATTCCATCTCTCTGACCTCCACTGGTAGCTACTTAGACATGGTGTCCATATAAATAAGCAGGAACACACACACATACATATAAAATGAAAATATTTAAATGTACAATTTCAAAAATAAATAATGAAAAATATTCTTTTTAACCACAATAAGATTAAATTAGAAATATATAGTAAATCACAAACATTTGAAACTTAAAAAGTGATGAAACAAAAATTCAAAGACAGTCTTGATTGAATGTGTTCTCATAATTCCAACTCAGAAAGCTGAGACATGAACAGAAAAAATTTTAAAAAGTCATTCACAAATGTGTGGGTTGAAGAACTAATAAGATAAAGTAAAAGCAATGCTAAACTAAAACATAATGAAAACAAATGCCAAAATATTTGGCTAAAATAGAGTACTGCTTAATTTGTACTTTATATCTTTTAATGTCCATCAGTGAGTTCTAGCTGCCTTTCTTTTTCCAATGTATGTATTTATTGACTTTTTTTGCATTCATATAATGTATTTCAATTAAATTTAGACCCCCTTTCTCTCATTCATAGTCCTATAGCCTCCCCAACTGCATTTCTAATCCTGTGATAAAAAATACCCTGTCAAAAAGAAACATTGGCAGAAAGGGTTATTTAATTCATAATTCTAATCACATGCCGTCGCTATGGAAAATTACCTAAACAGGAGGTTAAGACAGTTGATTATATCCCATCCACAGTCTAACTTTCAAGTCCTACTGAAAAATACACATACAATATATGTATGATTGCTTGTTTATAGCTGAAGGCTATGAAATAAAGGAGAAACCTCCCTTCAAGTTGTTGGGTGGGGTAGTCCAAGAGACTTCAAAAATAATACAAGCTATTGCCACAGCTCTTGACTGCATCCCAGAACTTGAAAGTAAAGCCCTATTGTTGACGACAGGATGTCCAAAGTATGTCTAATTCTCAGCACCATATAAACTATAAGGGATAGAAACAGAAAAATCAAAATTCAAGACTATCCTCAGCTCCACAGAGAGTTCAAAGCCAGCCAGAAATATGTGAGACCCAATAATAATAATAAATGTAAAATAAAACAAAAATCTTCAACTGCCAAAACGTCAGTCTAGACACAATTTGAAAAATAATTCTAAGGTCATCCTTGAATACATAATGAGTTTGAGGCCAGCCTAGGATACATGATTTAAAAAAAGAACACTGAATAATTCAGTTATAGTTGAAAAAAATTTTAAGGAACTAGGACTGGACAGATGCTCAGCATTTAAGAACACGTGCTGCTGTTACAGAAGACCTGCATCAGATTCCCAGCTCCCTCATTGGGCAACTCATAACCACCTGTAACGCTAATACCTGGACTATCCAATGCAACAGTATTAAGGCGGAAGTGAAAATACCATTAAAAGTTTCAAAACATTATATATGTGCTAGGCTAAAGTTAAATAAATATCGTCCAAGATCGCAATATTGAATGTGACAACATAATTGAAAGACATTTAGAAGTCTTAAATACATGTTCTGGAATTGAAAGATGTAATATTATTAAATTATAAATTTTACTCTGACTGAACCCCTATTTCAATATAATTAAATTTCCCTCAGCCCCACCCTACTTCACACCTGCCTTCTCTACTTGTTTTTATTTCTTTTGAATCAGAGTCTCATTTATTCCTGGCTGGCCTCACTATGTACTTGGAAATGAGCTTGAACTTCTGATCCTACTGTCTCTACCTCCTGAATGCTGGGATCACAGGCATGCATCACCATACAAAGCTTTCTTCAAATTCCCTTTTAGGAACATAAGAGCTTGTTTAAGAATTGATAAATATGAGGCAGAGAGATGGACCAGAGGCTAAGAGGACTGGCTATTCTTACAGAGGACCCAGGTAGCTAAAAAAAAACATCCATAACTCTAGTTCCAGGGGGATCTCATACCCTCTTCTTACCTTTGCAGGGATCGCATGACACATGTGCACTTACATGCATGCAGGCATTACACGTTTACACATAAAATGAAAAAAAATTATAAGATGAAGTATTGATAAAAAGTTCTCAGTGGGTAATGGTGCTTGCTGTCAAGCATGACATCCTGAGTTGGTTCCCTGGGACCCACGCAGTAGGAGAAAACCAATTTTGGGAAGCTGCCCTCTGACCTCCACATTTATGCCATGGTACTTGAATACTACCCCCTCCACAGGTATACGTACATAATTACACATGCAAATAAAACATAAATAACAACTAAATAAATAAATGTTTTAAAAGTTTTACTTATTTTATAAGGAAATCAAGAAACCTAAACAATTCAAAATATCCTAAAAATGAAAAAAAGTTAGATGCATTTGTACTGACTGCAGAAATACCTAGAAAGCTGTGAACTCTTAGACATGGAAAGAGAGGAGTAAAGACAGGCAAATCCATCAGCTGAATTGAATAGTTTATGGAAAATAGGCTGTCATTTTCACTATTAGTTGATATTCAGCTACTCTATAGGGGGGAAATGAAACAAATGGAATTCAAACAGAAAGGAAATCTCTGAAATCTGTCTCATAGCATAGTCTAGTCAGTTTAAAATCATTCACAACCCTATATCAAAAATGTAATATTGCCAATCTCCTAGATAAAAATTCGGGCTATAACTTGGGTTGCACTTTGAATATAAAATGTCTCCCATAGATTCATGTATTTGAATGCTTGGTTTCCAGATGGTGGTTCTATTTTTGGAGGATTGTGAATCCCTTGGGAGGTAGAGACTTGCTGGAGGAAGTAGATCACTAGGGGCAGGGCTTGAGGCTTTATAGCTCAGCCCACATCCTGTCATTCTCTACTTCCTGAGTGTGGATGCAATGTGACTAAACCGTTTATGCTTCAGGTTGCCCTGCCTTCCCTGCATGATGGACTGTGTCCTCTCAGACTGTAATCCACAAGAAGCCATTTCTCCTTAAAATTCCCTTTAATTAGGTATAATCTCACAGAAACAAGAAAAGTAATTAAAACAATTTCACTATACTGAATAGGCAAAAACATCACCAACTAAAAGAAAATAATACATGGGACTTCATTAAAATCAGAAGCTTTTAATCAAGGAAGTATTATGGAAATGAATAGCAAAGTCACAGATGATAAAAAAAATTTCCCCAGAGTACATATTTCACACATAAATATCAAAAGAAATCCTAATCACCAGTAATTTTTTTTTTAAAAAGTAGAACAAATGTATGAACAGACACTTGGAGGGAAGATAATAAACACATGAAAATGTATTCAACCTCCCTTGGCCTTAGAGAAATACAGAGTAAAATCCTACTGAGGTGATGTTGCATGCCATGAGAATCACTCAACTGAAACTCCCAAGGTAAGCATATATCTGTGGATGAAGCAACAGCTAAGATTCTCATTCTTTGCAGAAAGGAGTAGAAAATGATTCAGTTCCCTTAAAATAATTTTTAAGGCACAACGTTTAACAAAATGTAGGCATGAGGTATGTATAATATAGCTTTTTAATAAAGTATATATCTATACATATTTAGTAATATACTAGAGATTTACACAAACGTAAAGCATGTGTTTTTCAAAAAATTTGCTAAAAAGAAAAAGAAAAATCAAGAAAATTTTATTCATAGTAACTAAAACTTGGCATCTATAAAAATGTTCATGAACAAGAAATGGATTAAAATGAGGCAAATCAATCTATTCAATAGAATTTCAGTGATTTAGGAAGAAACAGATGTAAGGACTGGGAAAATTGCTTGGTAGGTTAGGCAATTGCCATGCAAGTTGATGACCTTAATTCACATGCCTAGAACTCACATAAAGCTGGATGCAGTAGTACCCATCTGCAATGTCAACTCTCCTAGGGTAAGATGATAGAGACAGAAGAATCTCTAGAGACTCCCAGGACAGCTATCCTGGCACGTACAATGACAAAGAGACTGCCTTAAGGTGGAAAACGAGAATCAGCAATTGGCCTTATGCTCTGATTTCCACACATGAATGTCTGCACCTAAATTTATACACATGTGAACCCACACCCCCACACACACACTAAATTTATACCCATCTGAAGCCCCCCATACACATACACACAGAGTGATACACATTATATTACATCACACATACAAGAACAGGTTTTTTTTAAATAAAGGAATAGAAATAGAATGCTGGTACAATAAAGAATATAGGAATGAATCACAGAAACATGTGATATGAAAAAACCCTCATTTCAAGAAGTGTATAATGTGTTCATAATGCATGATTTAATTCCTTATAATTAAATTTCCAAAACAAAGGAAATTGATCTGTGAGGAAAAAAATGAGAGAAGTGTCCTTTGTGAGCTTCTGGGAGGGACCCAAGGAACTGGTGTGAGGAATGTGTAGATGCCAAATCTTCATGATATGAAAATAAAATTGAAGGAACCTGTGACATTATGTACTTCAGATCTTCGCATTTCACTGTGTGGGCATTCTAGAAACACTCTCCTTAAATTGTCTGTGAAAAAGAGAAGTAAAGAGGCAGAAATTTCTCTTGGAATGGTATGATAAGCTTAAATGTGGAAAATAGATAGCTGAGTTTAGCATCATTTATTGGGTTTGAGTGATGCTTTTCACACTAGACATATATCATCAGTAACTTCATTTCAGCCATCCTGATTCATCTCATTATATTATGGTCTGATTAGGACTTCCCCATGTACTTGACAAAGTGTCCTATATGGTTTGTTACTCAACTGACTACAGGGGCATTTTAAATTGGTCTAGATAGGGGTGCTGACAGTCTTCAGTAATACAGAGCTGACCTAGCATGAGGGAGTCAGAATTGGTTTAATCAGAGGAATCTGTTACATCTTCTACTAAGGCCAGCCTATGCATTTTCACTATATGACTATAAGGGTGGAATAAAATGTTGTGTATTATTATGCTTATGGCAATACTCATCTGATGTCTTAATTGAATTTTTTGTAATCTTGTGCTATGTCTAGAGATTAAAAGTTTCATTTTTTATACATTGAAGTAGTATGATAAATGACCGTACATGTGAATTTAAACTGTAGTGGGTTCTAAGGAAACTAAATTACTGATGAGCAGTCATCATCAGTATTTTATTTCTGTCTTTTCTGGATAAAAAGAATTACTATTGATGAGACACACATGGGAAATTAAGGAATGAGTTCATCAGATGTTTCCTGATATGGGCACGGAGTCATATGTAGAGAACCATTAAAAAACATGCCTGAGAAAAGAACATTATCAGGGCCAGAGGCTGGGTCCATGGTTAGAGAGGGTACTGCTCCTATGGAGGACCTGTTTCTTGTTCCCAGCACCCATATATGAAGACTCCCAGCCCCCTGTCACTCAGAGTATCTGACCTGTATGGTCACCAGCAATCACATGTGCACATAACCCCCAAACACATATAATTAAAAAAATTTTTAAAGAAATCAAAGTTATTAATAATATCATAGATTCAGAAAAAAGTATAAAAACATGGAATTATTATGAAAAAAATGAAATAAGTCTTTATACATGTAGGGAATTCACATAGACAATGTTGTTAGTTTTATTTAATTGAAGTACAGTATTTACAGAATTTCATTTTTCAGGAAACAAAAATTTCATGTCATGAATAAAAAGCATTATTACTGGAATATTTTATCTACTTAACAATATTAATTAGTCCAATGAGGCTTTTTGCAATGATTTTGGTTATGTCCATTTGCAAAAGGTATTTGAAAGGAAAATATATTTTGACATGTCATAGTTTTGACTTTTACCCCTAACACTGAATGGAATGACTGTGGATGAGAAAACAAATGGTGATGACTAAGAGTAGATTAAAAGTTGAAGGCATGTCAGTTTTTTTTCATTTTGTTCCTGGCTGTTTGCCCAGCTCCACTGAAGACTTCATTTTTTTTTCCTGATGCTGTCTCAGGTGACAAGAGCAGGGTCTGCTGGTCCAAAATATTTTGAATGAGGTCATCAAACAGACTTGGAATGTGATTTTGAGCCTCTGACACCCTGGTGATGAACTATGGGGAGTTATGGGGACCAAAGCCTTTGTGATTCAGTTATCATCTAATTCTAAGTCATCAATATTGCCAGTGGGGTCCCTGAAGCTCTCACTAGCTGAGGAGAATGGTGTAAGAAAGGGTTTATCAATGGGTGTTCATGCTGGTCTTAGATGATTCACAGTTAATTGTTCCATTTCAGAAATATGAGATGACTTCCGACAACTGGCTCTCTAAACAGGTATAGTATAGGCGGTCTCCATCACATGTTGGGCATTATGAACATTTTCTTTACCTGTCTATTACATAATAACTTTCTCTAAAATATTATTTCAGGGAGCTGTGGAGATGGTGCATCAGTTAAAGTACTTGCCTTTGCAAGTGTGAGGACAGGAGTTTGAATCCCTAAATCCATGTAAATGCCAGGTAGCATGGTGGCCTACCTGTAATTCCAGCCTAGGATGGTGGAGAGAGGAAAGCCCCAGAGCAAGATGGCCAGTTAGAGTAGCCATATGGCAAACTCTGGGGTTGATTGAGAGACCCTGCCTCAAGGAAGAAGTTAAAAGAACAAAAGAACAATTGAGAATGAATTCTGTTAATAACCTTAGGCATCCACATGCATGTGAAGATGCATGCCTTTGGACATGCATGCATGCATACCCCCACACTCATGCACCCACATGCAAACATGCATATACATACCATATACCCGCCCAAACACATACTCACGAATAAGGAAAAATACAAAGACATTTATTTCAGTAGTAAATCCTTAAGGCTTTGTTAGTTTTGAAAAAGTAAGTCTGTTGCATTAAATATTTGTGATATCAGACATAGTGGCTTATCGGTATCCCAGCATTTTTGAAACTGAAGTAGGGTCTCTAGTTCAAGGCCAGACTGGACTACATAGCAAGTTGGAAGCAGCCTGGACTATATATATAATCTCTAATAACAACAGCAACAATAATTAAAATGAACATTATATATATACATGTGTACAATGCATAAGTGCACCACATGTGTACAATGCCCACAGAGGCCAAAATAGGGTATTGGATCCCCTAGATGATTGTTAGCCAGTTAGCAAAGCTTTCAGTGGGTCTAATGTTGAGATGACAGGTATGTAATACATTGGGTAGTTTACAGAGTTCACCATTTCAGATCCAGATCCATGTGTCTCAAAACAGTGTCATGAAGAATACCACATATTTAAAGGCAAAGATGAGGCAGGACTTGAACACAATCGAATTGTTGACTGCCAGAGAGAAGAAATGGGATTTACCCAGTCAGTAATGTGTCTTCTTTTTTTAATTATTATATGCTCAGTTATACAGTATCCTCAACCTTTACCTATATGTTACTTCAGTGCTTTTAATTTATTACATATATCATCGCATATTATTCATGAATGTCCAGGAAGTAAACAATGAAAATTAACTTTATATTGCTATTAAAGATATCCTTAATAATAACAATAAAATTAGTCTTTGCCAGGTGATAAAATACTGAGCATATTCTCCATGACAGTCAGTGTCCCCTGTGCTGGAGAAGTATCTGTGATGAATATAATTTCCTAGCCTCATGTACACATATTTTAGAGGAATGTCACATGTGTGCAGAAACATACCTACAAACAAATGCATGCAAAGACAGTGGATGTATTGAGTGGTGTTAGGAACTGTACAGAAAGAAGATAAAAGAAGACAAAGGACATCAAGAGCAGCAGATGACCAAACCCTACATAGATTGGTCAAGAGATTCCTCATGAATGAAGTGACGTTGGGGATGACACATGCAGCATAAGAGGTGGAGCTGGACAGAGAGTGAAAAGTATGCATCTGTGGACAGGCAGGAACAAGCTCAGCCCCAGGATTCAGAAGAGCCAGCAAGGCCAGGCAGGCCCTTGGAGGACTGGAAAATCATTTTAAAGGCTTAAAATGTGAAGGGGATGGAGAGATGGGTTGGTGGTTAAGAGCACTGATCATTCTTGCAGAAAACCTGGGTTCAGTTCCCAGCATTCAAATGGCTGCTAACAATCATCCATAATTCTAGTTCCAAGGGGATCTGGTGCCCTTTTTTGACCTCCTCAGACATTGTATGACAGAGGTGCACATACATATATGCAGGCTTAACACTCATATACATAAAATAAAAAAAAATATTTTTTAAAAAGTGAAGCTGGAGGGATGGCTCTGCAGTCAGGAGTGCATTCTGCTCTAGCTGAGAACCTGAATTTGATTTCCAGTACCCACATCAGGTGATTCAAAACTGACTGGAACTCCAGCTCAGGGCAGCAGAAACCTCTGGGCTCTACAGGCACTGCACTCACACATACATACCCATTATTGAAAATAATAAAAATTTAAGCATCTAAAATCTTGCAAAGAAAACCACACAAATGCCTTCTTATAGAGAAGAATTAGGCAACAAAGAATTCAATGTTTTGCCAGATATCAATTTTCTTCTTTTTAATTTTGTTTATTATTTTTATTTTATGTGTACGAGTGTTATGCCTCCATGTAGGTAAGTGCACCCGTGTTGTAAAATATCTATGGAGGACAGAAGAGGCTGTCAGATCCCCTGGAACTGGAGTTACAGATATTTGTTAGCTACCTTGTGGGTGCTGGGATTCGAACCCAGGTCTTCTGCAAGAACAGTCAGTGTTCTTAACCGCTGAGCCATCTCTCCAGCTCCCCGATATCAATTTTTTAATGTTCTTGCTGAACATATATATGTGTACATATCTATGTCTGTGTGTATATTTATATATGTTCTTCCTAAGCATGCACATAAAACATGTTTATATGCATTTATGAGTAAATGTGTATATGACTCTATAACAATTTTAAAAAGTAATAATTGTGTTTGCATAGTATTTAACTGTGATTTAATTGAAAGTCACCACCTGAGAGTCACAAATGTGGGTGGACATTGTTAATATGTTTGAGGAGAAACAAACACTAAAAAGAAGGAATTTATGTTAAGTGATCTGTAATTTCCAATTTTGTGGCAATTTGCTTTTTATATTTTTTAGTTAATTTTGTATATAGTATCAGAAATGAATCTTGAAATAAGTAGAGTTATTGAGTAAAAGATGTCACAAAATATGTTTCTTAAGGAATTTTATGATTTAAAATATGTTCTTTGTAAACTGGCCTTTATATTGCCTTCTCCTTATCTTTGAAAGGTAATTGTCAAATACCATCTCAAGTGAAGGGACACAAGTTCTTGTCTGAATCAGTTCAAGGCTTGTCCTTAGTCTAATTTTTATCATCCATACCCCACATGAGGCTTCCCCATCCTTCCCATTCTTCACAGTCACACACAAAATTTAACCTTAAGTTCACTTTTAAATGCAAAATATTGTGCATTGTTTTTTGAAATAATTTTACTGTTTCCCAAAGTAATTGAAAAGCAAATGCCTGGTGCAGCCCATGCTAGATGTTGAAAGTAGAAAGCTGCCAATTCACCATCCTGCTCTGAGATCCTCACCTGCCCTTCTCCACTGTAGAATGAAGAGCCTGTGTTTTCCAGAGATGGAAGCAAGTTCTTCATGACTGTCCCTGTCAAGCAAGGTGGCCGTGGAGAATTCCACCACATAGCTATGTTCCTGGTCCAGGTAGGTGCTGGGTTCTTTCCTTGGTTTGGTTTCATTGTCATGGTATCCTTGAAAACCCTGTTATTTTTAAAATCTCTCTCCTCTCCCATTCTCTCTCTCTCTCTCTCTCTGTGTGTGTGTGTGTGTGTGTGTGTGTGTGTGTGTGTGTGTGTTTATATGTCACTGTGGGCACATATATACTAAGTTCATGGGAGGTGAGATGTAACTTGGAGTGTCTGTCAGTCTTTGCCTCCTACCTTGTTTGAGAACAAAAGTTTCTCTTGTTCATCAGCTAGTTGGTCTATGAACCTCCAGGTGTTTTCCTGTCTCCGTCTTCCACGTCATCATAGGAGTGCTGAGATTTCAAATGTATATTGCCAAGGCCAACTTTTACATAAGTTGTTAGTATTTGAATTTATGTCCTTATGCTTGTACAACAAACACTTTACCCACTAAGACATTTCCCCAGTGCTGCAGGTTCAAGTCAAATGCCTTTCAGAGCCCACAGTGAATGTCAATGGAGGTTAAGAGTATGGGGCTCACAGACAGCTTTGGAAGGAGATGCCATGTATACAAGTGCATTCAAGCTGCAACTTCCCAAAGTCAATAAAATGTAATGAGCCATAAGCATGCACTGTGAATTGAACCCTTAGGGTGCAGATTTTATATTTAAATTATTTATTGATTTATTTACTTATTTCTTATCTTTGAGACAAGGTCTCAAGTAGCCCAGGTTTGTCTCAGACTCACTATGTAGTTAGTATGACCTTGAATTTATAATTCTCCTGAGAAGTGCTGAGATTATGGGGTTATAGTCATGTGCCAACAGTTTCAGTTCATTCAGTGCAGAGGTTATTGCACACCAGGCAAGCACTCTATCAACTGAGCTACATGCTTAGCCTTGAGATATACAATTTAATAATTTTAGAACACCCAAACTTCAATACCTAGGGACAACATAGAGAAATTTGACCCCTGAATAGAGATTTCCTGTTTTTATATCAGTTTAATACTTTGAGGGTATTAAAAGCGTTTTGAATACTTGAACTGGCAAGATGACTCAGCACATAAAAGTGTTTGCCTTGCAAGCCTGGTGTCCTGAGTTTCTTTCTTAGAAACCATTTAAAGGTAGAAGGAGAGAATTGACTCCACAAATTAGTCCGGTGACTTTCACAAACATACCCTAACTTGTGAAACCTGACATACAAGAAAGTAAATACACAGATTTAAAAGTTTGAATAGTCAAAGTCAAGTGTATGCACATCAAAACTGAATGGTACAGCTGGGCATAGTGGCACATGCCTTTAACCCCACCAACTGGGAGGCAGAAGCAGGCAGATCTCTGTGAGATAAAGGCCAACCTGGTCTCAATAGCAAGTCCCGGGCCAGCGGGAGCTACAAGAAGATGCTGTCTCAAAAAGAACAAAGCAATTATAAATGGAACAATAAATTAAAGATGTATTCACACCAGAAAAATGCAATACAGATTTTAGAAAAATACAATAAAATAATGTCTTTTCATTGACACAAAGGCCATGGTGTATCTTTAAGGACTTTCTAACAAGAGAAAGGAATATTTTCTTCCTTCTAAACTTCAAAAGAATTTTAACAATTTAAAAAGTTTTAATTATTTAAAAATCAATAGTTTTCTAGGCGTGGTGTTGCATGCCTTTAATCCCAGCACTAGGGAGGCAGAGGCGGGTGGATCTCTGTGAGTTCAAGGCCAGACTGGTCTACGTAGTGAGTTCCAGGACAGCTGGAGCTAAAGGGAGACCCTGTTTCAAAAAGATCCCCCCGCAAAAAAATCAATAGGTTTATAACAGCTGGTTTAATATGGCAAGATGAATGAGTCAATTTAAATTTAATTCCCAATAATGAACATCTAGAAAGAAACAAGCATCCTTCAAGATCAAACGAGCATCTGACTCTCACAGGAGAAAGGCTTTATAGTGACAAATAACTGGAACTAAATTGAAATCTTACGAGTTTCCAAAAATCATTTGTTTTTCTTTCAAAATATAAATATAAATGTGACATGTTTCCTCACAAACTCGGCTACTTTTAAGTTCTTAGAGCTTTCAACTCTTGTGATTACTCTAAAATAGTTGCAACCTTCATGAAACTTGAGAGAGAGAGAGAGAGAGAGAGAGAGAGAGAGAGAGAGAGGTGGGAGAGGACACGGAGGATCAGTGGAAGGAGGACAGGAGGGTAATGGGGGCTGTGCTGGCTAGCTTTAGTTGTCAACTTGACACATGTCGGTAGAAGGAGCCTCAATTGTTGAATTTCCTCCATTGGACGGCCTGTGACCCTGTCTGTGGGGCATCTTCTTTATTATTGAGTGATGTAGGAGGGACTCGGCCCATTGTGGGTGGTGCCACCCCTGGGAGAGTAGGCCTATATTGTGTAAGAAAGCAGGCAGAGAAGGGGCCAAGGGAGCAAGCCAGTAAGCAGCATTCCTCCATGGCCTGTGCTTCAGCTCCTGCCTCCAGGTTCCTGCCCTGAGTTCCTACCTTGGGCTTCTTCCATGATGAACTATGACCTGGAAGATGAAAGCCGAAAAAACCCTTTCCTCCCCAAGTTTCTGTTGGTCAGTGTTTTGTCACAGCAATGGAGAAACACCTAGAACAGGGGTGAACTGCTCAAAGTGCAGTATATACATGTAGGAAAGTGTCATAATGCCACCCATTGTGCATAATTAATATATGCTAATAAAATTATTTTAAAAAGAAAAGAAAAATTACTGTTATCTATAGTTACACACATATTTATATTGAAAGAATTTGCTTTGAATTCACAAAATTTCATGTCAATACTTAAACTTTAAAACTTATCTGAGGTTTACATTATTAAAGTAATTATCATAAATTTAACTTTAATTTTAATCAAGGTCGAAATTAAAAAACTGAGAACATATATAATTTTCAGAGCAGAGAGAAGGTTGGTTTTCATAGTATGCTATGAAGATGGAAAAGCAGACTAATTAATTATACACTCATGAATATACTCACTCACATGTATGTCCTAAAAATATATATGCACTCATATTGGAATTAAATTATGATATTTCCATATCAAACTATTGATTGATTAGAACAGACAGGTAGACTTTTTAACGTATCATTTTCATTTTTATGTGAAATATAGAGGTCACTAGGAAATTGCTTTATTTAACTTTTATTAAGTAAACTTTGTGATTATAAACACTAGGGAAATAGTCTGTCAAATAAATTGTACGAATTATGGTATTTTATTTATTTTTTCTTTAAGATACATATTATTTATTGTTCTAGTTTGCTTTCAATTACTGTGACAAAACACCCTGACTAATACCAACTTGGGGAGAAAAGGGTTTATTTGGTTTACATCTCACAGGTCACAGTTCATCACTGTAGGAACTCAGGGCAGGAACCTGGAGGCAGGAGCTGAAGCACAGGCCATGGAGGAATGCTGCTTACTGGCTTGCTCCCCTGGCTGCTGCTCAGCCTGCTTTCTTATACAACACAGGCCCACCTGCCCAGGGGTGGTACCACCCACAGTGGGCTGGGCCCTCCCACATCACGATCAAGAAAATGCTCCACAGACATGGCCACAGGTCAGTCCAGTGGATCCAATTGCCATTTGAGAGTCCCTCTACCCAGGTGTGTCAAGTTAACAACTAAAGCTATCCAGCACATTTATGTATACGTGCAGATATATGTGTGAACCCTCAGAGGACAGAAAAGCATGTTGGTTCCCCTAGAGCTGTCATTATAGGTGACTGTGAGCTGCCCAACGTGGTTGTTGAGAACTGAACTGTGGTCCTCAGGAAGAGCAGGAAGTTCTCTAAACCCTGAGCCAACTCTCTAGCCCTTATCAAAATTTTAATTTTCAATACTTTTGTATTTAGTTGCACTTTTAAAATCTAATATTAGGACTTGAGAAATGATTCAGTTGGTAAAGTGCCTGTCATATAAGCATGAAGACCAGAGTTCAGATTCCTGACACATACATAAATGCTGGGCACAGAGCACATCTATAATATTGGGGCGGGGGGCAGGGCTCAGAGACAGGTGGATCGATCGCTGGAGCTCACTGGTCATCCAGTCTGGCCAGCCAATGATCTGTGTTCAGGGAAAGATAAGGTGTAGAGCAATTATAGAAGATACCTGATGTCAAATTCTGGCCTACACACAAACACACACACAAACACACACACAGGCACACATATACACCACCTCTGCGGACACATACACACACTCACATAAATGGAAAACTGAACTTTACACATAGATCATTATATGCACAGTTCCAAATGAAGTCAATTAATTTACCATATTAAGAACAGAAATAGTGTCTAATATAAGCATTGGGCAGAATGATAATGCAATATATTAAAAAGGACTTTTCAGGCCAGGCGTGGTGGCTCACGCCTTTAGTCCCAGCACTCAGGAGGCAGAGGCAGGCAGATCTCTGTAAGTTCAAGGTCAGCCTGGTCTACGTAGTGAGTCTGAGGCCAGCTGGTGCTACAGGGAGACCCTGTCTCAAAAAAACCAAAATAAAATTAATAAAAAAGGACTTTTCACACCTAGCTAAGATTTTCTTTTTATTTTTTTTCTTCATTCTTGAGATTTTCAAACATGTATGGGATGAGCTATGATCATATTTATCCCAATTTCTCCCCCTCCTACTCTCCCATGACCCTTTCAATATATGCCCCTTCCAATTTCATGTCTTGTTTTTATATAACCTACTCACTGCTGTTAGCACTGCCCTTTTGTACATGGATGTGGAGCCATCCACTGGAGCATGGATAACCTGCCAATACACTACCTCTGCAGACACATACGCACACTCACACAAAAGGAAAACTGAGCTTTACACCTAGATCATTATATGCTCAGTTCCAAATGCATCTTCAAAAGGAATGATTTCCCCACCCACACCCCTAGTAACTATCAGTTGCTAATAACTCCTCTGTATGGAGTGGTATGAGAGTTCAGCCTGGCAAGCAGCTCACTCATTATTTCTGCAATGTTCAGAGT